AAATAAATAATGGCTAGCTCATTTTTGTCCATGGTGTATAGCTAATAAGTTTGGTAAGATGTTATAAACACAATAGAAGACCTTGTAAGTAATTTATGTAAATTCATCCTTTTGGTGCTTAGTGATTTTCCTTTATCTGCTACTATTCATCCCATAAATCAGGAAACCTTTAGAGTATGTGTCTTTCATTGATGTGATTATATTGAATCCATTTTCTCATGCAAATTTTTTTAAGAAATCACATGTAGAGGCCTACTATTTAATATGTCAAATAATGTCAGACACACTTTTAGATGATTTTCAAACCCTCAAATGAATCATAAAGCCCCATGGCCTAGGAAGAAAAAACAACTTATGAAACCATATTTCTAATAATTTGTACTATTCTAGAAGGTGCACATATTGAATTTGAAACTTGTCATAGTCAGTTAGTGGCCACTGAAGCCTTGCCCTGCTAGAGGCTGGAACATTTTGTTTAGCTTTTGCTCTTCAGTCTTCATCCTTATACAATTTCGCCTGCTATTCTCCTGGTATATAAAATTAAAATTTTGTAGGTAAAATAATACAATTTTGCCCTCTCATACAATTCAGACTAATAGGTTAAACATGGCACATTTCTTTGCTTGACAAATAGTGAAATGTTTTTCTTTTTGGCATAATTCAAGAAAATATACAATTCCCTATTTTAAATAAATGTACCTCCTTTAGTAAAAATGACAAAGATATTGGTTTTATGGCAAAACATGACTTAGAGTACAATGAAGAGACTATACATTAGGAAGACTGCATATATAGGAGAAGGAAGCCAAATAGAGTATAAAAACTTCTATGCTGAAATACTCAACAGTGTTGTGATTTTCACATTCACTCATTTTAAGAAAAATAAATTTTTGGGATGCCAATATGGAATATTCCAGGTGCTTTTATAGATAGTTCGGAGATACCAATGTCCTAAACATGTAAAAATGACTCCCCTTATAGAGCTAGCAGAATGAGATACATAGTAAACAGAATTCAGTGGAGTAATAGAAAGTGATAGTACTATACAAAAGAGAAAACATGAAACAAGGGATAAAGAACTGTGGGAAGGACAACATTGTGTTTTTTTCTTTGATAGTGAGGAAACGCTGTTTGGAAAGAAATGACAAGTATGCCCTACTTTTCAAAAAATTTACTTTCCATTAGTTTGTTTTTACAAAAGACCTACATTATTACTAATTTTTGTTAACCAAAAGAAACCCAGAGAACATTCTGCGTGTACTTTGAGCAACCATCATGGACTATAGAATAGTGTGCAGCCAGATGGCGAGTGTGGCTCCACCCAGCTCCTTTTCAGGGAGCTGCTGTATACAGACTGTGTCATCATTCCTGCTTCTAGTAGATTTCGTGTTATGTTAGTGTTTGTGTTAGGCTTTCTGTTGTTGGATAAGATTTTGTGGGTTATTTTTGGGTCTGATGACTGTTACAAATGTTTTAGTGTAATTTCAGGTAAGATAATGGCAATGGCATCTTAATGTATGTTATTTAGGTAGTAGGGAAAACTTGTTGACTAAAGACTTCAAGGACATAGGGAAGAAATTCTTCCATTATTCAGTCTGAAAGAGTTTAAAGAGTGGTATACAAATATACAGACTAATATGTTTAGGGAATGAAAATAAGGGTTTTCCAAGAGCCAAAGAGCCAGGTGAACTGAGTTTGGGGATATCCTCAAATCAGATCCTAATGTCAGGATCTGCAATGAAGCAGATTTAACAGAGGGGCAGGACATGTATCATTATTTCCCATCACTATGAGAAAAAGAATTGTGAACTTAGGTTTCTGTTTGCTCCTATGTTCTCTCCACAACAACTGAAGTTACTTAAGGAAGAAATGTTCTTACTTTCCCCCTTATTTCTAGAACCTATTAAATATTTGAAATAAGTGCATGTGTTTCCACAAAATTGGTTAGTGACTGGTAATAAGCCAAAGCCTAGAATATTCTCAAACATAGAGGAAGCAGAAGGAAAATATTACAATACTATAATTTAGGCTCATAAACAAATGAAAATTATATTTAAAATCATAAGAGTTTTTTAATGGTCTAATATCTTGTATTCTTAGCTCCTTTAATACTTAAAGGTAGGAATTATGTTGTGCATATATTTATTATCTATTAATAGTTCCTTCAACTAACAATGAAAAAAGAGAAAATATACCAACATATACTCATTGACTGAAGCTGGTACCCCCAAATATTAAGGCATATTAAATAGTTTTGGAAGCTGTACTGTTGCCTGGACTATATGTTTATTTTATGAGATCATGAAAAAAGATGATTCATGTTTTAGAAGTGACAGTCTGTGTATCATTTTTTGGGTGCATTTAGAAGTGAAAAACATAACAATATACTAAACAACAAAACATTTGGTTTAAGAAATAACCTCAGTGTCCACAATTACTGAACAAAATAACATGTTTAACAGAGATCTCAGACTCAAAGGATTATAATATGAATATGAGTCTTTTGTAGAAAATTTAAGAATCATGTAAGATTTACCCAAACCTGAATTCTCTCATAATTTTACCTGTGATAGTCATATTTTCATGTAAGTGATTATTTTATACCTAACATAGTAGGGACAGAGGACAGTAGTGATGGCAGCAAGTGTATTTCATACATCAAAGAAAGCACTCTTACCCTACATATGGGTGAGTTAACCTAAAAGCAATGAGTCATAACAGCTGATTATTGAAAGGACATTTTAGAAGGGAAATGCAAAAAAGTAAAACAAGGTCAATCCAAATCATAAATTTTACCAACCCAGAAAGATTTTTAACAAATATGGTGCTCCTCAGTGGTTGTTTTGAGTGAATCATTTTTTTTGTTATTGTTGTTGTTCTATAAATTTACCTGGATTTTTAATTTTCCCACTCCATTATTTTGGGTAACCCCAGGAAAGTTTACATTGTCTATAGCAAAGTGGAGCTCTGGGAAGCTCATCAATTTCGATTATCCAGTTGCATCCTTTCAGAAAAGAAGGTCCCCAGGATGACCGAGTGCCTAGTACAGGATGATTAGGCTCAAACTGCTCCAGGTCACTTCACAAAAGGACGATCATGCTTGATTCATCTGATCATTGAACTGGAAATGAAAGAACAGCAGTGACATAATTACTTCAGATTTTTCAGACCCCAGACATAATACAGCACAGATATTAAACAAAGCTAGTCCTTGGAATCATTAACAAGCATTTTTTAGAGATTTATTTATGCATGCATGCAAGAACTGGGGTATGGGCCAGAGGGGCGGGGTTGATGGTGGTGGTGGTGAGAGGGACGCACCAGACAGAGTGGGGAGCAGAACAGGTAGATCGACTGAAATACACTGCTGAGGGGAACAGCCAACAAAACATGAGAGGTCCCCAGTGCCATGTGGGTAGCTCCCTGGCCAGGGGTCGAACTCTTACTGTAGTGCCTGAGAGAGTTCTGTGCTTTAACACGTTAGGCCACCAGGCAGATCCCTGATTAACAAGCAGTTTTAAAGAGAAAGATTACTGCTGTAGCAAGTTATAATAAAAATGGTGTACAGAAATCAAAGACAAAGGATGTTTCTGGAATCTGTTTCACCTCTGGACAGAATGGGAAAGTGCACAGAAGGAAAATCACTTGGTGAGAGATGAAAAGCAGGGGACCGGACTCAGGAAACCGGGATGGTTTATCTACTAAACCAACTTGTGACCTTGGTCAGATTCCCTGGGCCTCACATCTTCACCTATGAAACAAAGGGTTTGGAATAGGCTGAATGGTGTTCATGAATCCAGGATATAAACAGAGGCAAGGAGTATCCATTTCATACAAAAGAACCATAATTCGAATATTTATGAAAGCAAAATTAGCTAGTGATCAAAAAAATGGTGAATAAAGATGACTGATGGAGAATGCAAATTTGTTCTATAAAACTGATAAAGACAGCCCCTCCCAAACGGAAGAGAATGGAGGTTGTCTCTAAATTTCTTCCACCAGTATCTTGTTCCCCCTCCTCTAACATCCCCTTATTTTTCTCCATACTTGTTTCCAGTAACCATGGTGATAGTCCCTCCCAGCAACCTCCTTCACAGCAGGCCCTTTTGGAATACATAGAATTTTGTTTCATTCACCAAATACTGGGAGCTAACAATGCTGTAAAAATTAATTTGTTAACATTTTCTCCGTTTGCCCAAGAAATAAATGCAGGAAATTATTCTACACTTAGCCTCTCTACAAAAGGGCACTGTAAAACAGGGATATTCAACTGTTAATTTCACATGCTAACATAAAGGGGGTACTGATTATGCCAAAGATTCATTCCCTGCCTCAGTCCTCAGGGATTGTACAATCCTAGTAACCAAGCTGGTGACCACCTCCTTTTGCTTTTGTACAAAATGGAATAAAATAGATTGCACAGAAATTGCTTATCACGCTGGATTTCCTAATCCTCTTTGTTTTTTCTTTTATAAGAAAAACATCACCAGTAGATAATTGTCACAATTACAAGGGAATTGAATTTTCTGTAGGAAAATATACATAAATCTCTGTATTTCTGTAATCAGACCTATAATTTATTTTAAATAAACAAACAATATGTGATATTCGTTTTAAAATATTGTAATTGCCCAGCAATGATAAAACATAAAAGACTCTCTGATGTCATTAATGAAGATAATAAAAATTCCCATAAATTATCATTTAGGCATGCTCACTTTGTATCCACCTGACTTACTTGTAATCCTATATACTAGAAAACCGTCTCTCCATTAAGCATGGTGTGTGTGTGTGTGTGTGTGTGTGTGTGTGTGTGTCTGGCATTAACACAAAGGAGACAGATGATGACATTCATAGGCTTATAGACTCAACTCCTGGGGACACACTTGGATGGAGGCAATTAAAATGCCCGTCAGGCATTTGATACCAGAAACCTCTGTGGCAAACTGCTAAATTTTAAGCCACGGCTGCATCTTATTGTCAGTGAATGATGGCGGAGCTGGGTGGCTTGTCATCATTCTCGAAAATTCTGAGGCTAGTGAGCTCTCTCTCCCTCTCCCACTCGCCTTATTTTCCTTTTCGCCACTGCGGGGACTTTTTCTAATTTGCAGCTTCCCTTTTCCTGACACACACAGACAGGAGCTGGTGGCTTACAGACTGCGTCTGTCTGGAGCTGGAGAGGGAGAGCCAGCCTGGGGAAATGATGCTCAGGGAGAAGCATTCTGCAGAGATCCTCAAAGGCTAGACTTGGGTGGTATCGCTGCATATGTGCTGGTAATAGTTTGGGTTTTATTTATTTATTTGTTTTATATGTAATTTGCATTTCAAAGAGGCTTTATGTGATCTCAAAGTGAAATGCTTTAAAATTCATTACTGAGCTTCCTAAAAATTCAAGTACTGAATTTTTCCACTACAGATCTCAAGACATAGATTTATTTTCTGGATATAAAGACTATATTTGCTGGTGAGTTACAGTTTTCTATATTAATGAACAATCCTATACGTGTATTTTTTTTCTTTTGTTTTGTTTCGATAGATTCTTCAGCTTGTTGTCTCTAACCGAAGAAACATTGATTGGGAACTACTCATTCAGAAAATTAAAAGGTACCATACATTTTTGTTTGTTTGGGTGTTTAAATGAGGAAAAACCAGGAGTGTTTGAAATGTTTTTATTTCAGTTAATCTCACTGTGGTTGGTTTTTATCCTTAAGTTCACGTTGGTCATTGTCTATGGCGTGTACGATTTCTGATATGGAGAATGCTATTATCCAAACACTGTCTTGGTTATGGAGCTAAAGAATTGTTTCTTTTGACTGTGTAGCAAGTTATTAACAAATGTCTATATGCATGGCTTATTTTGAATTTTTATCATTGTAACAGATTTTAAAACTGTCCACAATTCTCAATGAAAATTCAGCAATTGAATTTAAGTGAAATATACTACTGCTTTTGTCTGAGGAAATCCTTTTAAAAATGATTTTTTAAAAATGGTTCAGTGAATTTGCTTGTCCACCCCAGATCTAATGAGCGATGAAAGCCAAGAATGACTCAGTGCTGTTGGGGTTTACAAATAAGATACTGTAACTATTCACGTGCTTGAGTCTTTAACAATGGATATATTGAAAGGTGGAGGTTTTTTAGTTATTAGAGGAACTGATTTTTCCTGTGCTTGATTCAGACAGGACAGCACAAGAAAGTAATTAATATTGGCATGAAAGCCGTTGAATCCATTGATCCTGGGCCTTATACCTCACTCGAAAAATATTAATTTTCAAATTCATCATCGGGATATCTATTGATTGGAGATGGCAATTATAGGTATTGCCTTTCTTTAATTCTTTAAGATCCTCTTTGACTTGAGTATAAACTCATGTCAATCAAACATGTATTTGTAATTTGCCTTTAAAAAAATGGAAGACATTTTATGCATTGCTGAATAGAAGATCAATGATATCTTTTAATCCTTTCTTTGGCATGCGCATATTTCTCCTCTAGACTATCTACCCAAAGCATTTTATGCAGTAAGATTGTCTTTTTATTACTTCTTATTTTCCACATACTGGTCCTGAAATGCCCAGAGTATGTGAATGTACACCTGTATTTGTAGCTCTTGAAGGAGACTAATGCATTGTCCTTGTTTAATTTTCTCTGCAATGTGTAATTATGAGAACCTTAATTTATTCATTCCACAAGCACTTATTAAGAGCCTTGCTGCTGTGGGTAGTTATTGTAGGAGAGAGGAAAGGGGCAGATGCCACTGTCACCACCCTTCCAGCGTGTAGGCAGCTTCACATAAGAAGCTGCACAGGGGAATGAATTCATTACAATAAATCAGTGTTCTAAAAAAAGAAAAAGAAATTGCATTATTTCAGATATTGAGAAAAATCTGATAGACCTCAGAGATACATTAAATATATTTCACTTTTACCTCAGAAATTAGTTAGTGGAATCATGTGTTGAAATATCCTAACAGGACTTACTGCTCTTCTTGGATGTTGTAAAACCCTGGAGACTATTCTCTCTCTCTCTCTTTTGGTGAAAAAAAAAAAAAAAAAAAACAACTACTTGGTATCTTCCCATCTAACAAAATCTGTGTAGTATTTCATGAGGGAATCTGCTCATCATCACTTAGGAATTCATTATATTGATTTTGAACTTAGTGGTACTTATGTGAATAGGAAAAAGATGAAGTTATTTGCCTTTCAAGTCTTCAATATGTTGCCCATAGAAACTAATCAACTCAGGGGGCAATTTATCTGGGTATTGGTAAAGTGACATATTACTTCACCAAAACCCTCTTGACACCTATGTTTTCTGGAACTATTTTCTAATTGATACAACAGACTTTGTATAACAATAAAAGTTAACAAGCTTTGTGTAATAAAATAGAGCTTATTCAGATAGTCAGCTTTAGTGCTAAATCAGAAGAGACTTTGACTTTGGACCCTAATAAGACAGTTAGGAATCTGCTTCAGAGTTTATGAATTAATATCACCTTAACATTATTTAATTCATTTACTGATTATTTCACTCATATCTTCAGTCCAAGAATAGTGCCTGAACCACAGTAGGAATTAAAAAAAATATATTTATTTGATGGCTTAATGAATTCATCTGCATTTTCCACCATTCTTTTGTTTCTTTATTTTTCATGAAATGACATTATTTTTGCTTACCTAAAATATACATTATATGTTTCTAAGTAATAAGATAATGAATGCCAAATAGAAAATCAGAAAGACCACTTATTGCAATTTCTTCAGGATAGATGGGTAAGGATTTTCTCTGCTTTTAGGTTAAGATGGAAAGAATCTTTGAAATGGTCCCTTTTCCTCTCATAAGCTGGGGAAATATGCCAAACTGCAGCATGAGTTTGGCTTTATGGTAGCTTCTAAATACTACTCCCAGGCTTTGACATTGTTTATTGCTCTTCACGTCTTCAGCCAAGATTTTGCTGCAGTAGAGAGGAAACCTTTTTTTTTTTCTTTCTAAATGTAATACTAGAAATGATGTCATAGTCTTCTTAATGCTTTGTTCCTTATTATGAGCTACTATGACATCATTTATTTATTTAAGGACCATAAAGAAACTTCTAGAATCATAACAGCTTTAAAGAATACTATTTTTCTTTCTGTCATTTATTTTTATTAATGAAGCTAAAATATTTATTATTAACTATGTGCCAGATAATGCCCTATGCCTTTAGCATATGTTATCTCATTTAACTCTCTCTATAATCCTAGGAGATGGATATGGCCTCTATTATACAGGTAAATAAATTGATCCCTAACTGTACAATCAATATAAATCTTGCCACAGTCCCTCAAATTAACCACAACATGCTGTTTTTTCTAGTAGATTTTTTGTTTTTTAGCTCATAGTCACAGTTTGTCTGCATTATTTATACTTGATATATTAGTTACTTCAATATTATTAAAGTGGATTGCTGCACAAGAGCCTTGTAGATAGAAAAATGGATGGGTGGATGGATAGATAGGGATATATCTTTAAATGCATAATCATCACATTTTGTTATATTTTGTATCTTTAATATGCATTTTATATTTAACATGAACAAACAACATTATTCTTTAAGGAAGAATGTCACAGTTAAATTAGGAATTTAAATTAATTTTAAATAAATTCACATAATGCTTCATTCATATCATTACAATGAAGCTGCATTATTGAGTTCATAATCTGTATAAGAAAAGTGGCAAGAATTTACTGCTAAATAGAATAACTATGCTATATTTTGCTGTAGCTACAGAATATTTTTAATTGAAATAAAAGCAGAGTTTAAATAGTCAAATAAATAAGCAGAAGTATCATTTAGAATGCAATAATATAGCATAGCGACTCTCAAGTACATCAGTTTTATTAAGATCATCTACTTGTAAAGTAGTGTGTATAACAAAACTCGATGGAATTCAGAGAGTCCAGCAGACTAAGAGAAGGAAGTAGCACCAAGCCTCACTGGTGTCCCAAGATACACATAAATAATTTATGAAGAAGATTTCATTACAGGGCAGGATTAATAATAATCAAGGAGGTTCAACAGGAAATAGTTCATGGAGCATGAGTCTGTAGAGTTAGAACTTAGGTATGAATAGAAGTATCCAAAGGTAAGGTAGTGCATGAAGATGCTCCTGGAAGAACACACAACATTAGAAAAGAAGAAAAGGAAATGAACATGCTTAGAAAGCTTAGGTGAATCTCATTTGAGTTCTGGAGTGCAGGGCAGAAGAAGAGAATTCTTAGAAGATAAGGATGGAAAGCTATCTGAGTACAATTAGGTGAAACCATGTGGAATGACTAATATTTACTTTTGATCAAAACAATAAAATTTTATTTAGGCTACTTATTACATTGGAAAGGGGTCTATTATCCAAACATAATTTTTTTTTTCTAGCATCGGTAGGAAGTTAGGGTCTTTATTTGGTTAAGAGACTGTGGTCTAAGCTGTGTTTTCAGATGATTTACAGTGCTGTGTGAGATAAATTAGAGCTGTGTGTGAGAGCATGTTGAAGAAGGTATTGTTTGAGAAGCTATCATAGGATCATCCAGGAAAAAAGAAAAACTCCAAAGGGGATGTTGACAGTGGGAATAAAATAGAGGTCATGAAAATGAAACATGTTTCTGAACTCAAGTTCATGTATGGAGTATAGGAGTATTTGGTAGAAGGAATGAAAAACAGAAGGACTCAATGGTAACTGTCATGTTTGAATTTTTTATCAGGAAAAATGAATAGAAAAAGGCAGTTAAAAGTACTTGAAAGAAAAGATCCTCTTTTATTTTTCCATGTCCCTTGTTTCTAGTAGATTGCTTAAAACATAAGAGGCAGTCAGTAAATGCTGACTGAGTTGAGAGAGTAAAAAACTGAAAAGGGGGTTCAGGCCTTGCTGCTGGATGGGAGGTAGGATCATGCAGGTCCAAAAGCTGGAAGAAGATATCAGGGTGATAGGACAGAATCAAAAAAGATTAGGAAAAAAACAGAGCAAAAATTCTGTGCAGCACCCATATTTAGGATATAGGATGAGAGGCAGGGATTGACAATGTTTAAGGAAAAATAAAAAGTCAAGAAAGAAGAGGACAGACAAGGTAATAGAAAACAAGGCTATACTTCAAGCTCTCCAGAAAAAAATGAAGAACGAGAATGATAATAAAAAACCTGTTAAATTTATTAATTCTGCACTTGTATGTTATAGAAGCAAAATAATACACATTTTGTAGATGTGTAAAATATGAAGAAGTCTAAGAAGGAAATCGTAGCCACATATAGTTGCATAACCCAATGATTGTGGTTAACATGTTTTAAACCATTTACTTTCATATCTTTCATCTATTGTATTTATGTTTACGTAATCAGGATCAGAACCATACAATTTAAATTTTGCCTTTTCTACTCAGTAGTGTCTTAAGCATTTCTTACAACATGTTGCCATCTGCATAATATTCTATCATATGGACATTGTAGGTTTATTCCTATATTTCCCAATGTCTCACTGGCATCATAATGCTGCAATGGAAAAGTTTGTGATACATGTGATATTTCCAGTGGTTATTTCCAGTACCAGAATCACTGTTTACTGTCAAATTCCTGG